CCCAGCTCTTCCTCCCATGGTGTACAATCACCCGTGCCAAGGACAAGCGGATCCTTCAGTACCCCGACTGAGAAGGTAGCCCATAACGTCGCTATGCGAATGAAGGAGAAAGAGAAGAAATTCTCAGGGGACTTGGGCGAGTCCTGGATGGAGTATGTAGACGACTATCTTCAGATTTCCAGGGACTACAACCTCAGTCCTCCTCAGCGACTCCAGTTTCTTCACAATTTACTGCGAGGGGATGCTAAAAGGTGTTATCTTGACAAAATCGATGGATATGCGACCAGCTTTCAGCAAGCTATCCAAATGCTGGAGGAGGAGTACAACTCCCCTGTCCGCCAAACCCGGGTCAAGAACTATCTCAACTCCCTCCGCGTGACTGTTTTCTCTGCAGAAGGGAAGGAAATGTCCGCTGCTCTAGCTTTGACTTACAAGTCAATTATCAAATTCTCCCGTCAAGGTCCGCGCTCCCATCAAGGAGACGCTCACAAGGTTGAATTCCTCCGAAATGCTGTTGTAGGAATGCCATGGTCCAGCGAACCGCTCAGTAGAGTGGCAACGCACCAACTCACATTCCAACAACTCTACTCAGAGCTTGAAGCACCGCTACAACTGGATAAAGAGTCCAAGATAGCAATCATTCGCGATCGTGCACAACTGAATCAGCGTTCCGTTTCTCATGACAGCTCGGCCGGCATTCTGTACACAGGACAGGGCAGGTATTACAACAATTCCCCCTACCCGCGTGAACGAGACCAGACAAGTACCCGGCAGCCTCGCTTTGGCGGAAGGGCTTTCAGATCACCCTCTAAGACTAAGCAGAAGGTAAAGTTCAACCAGCTGACAGTATCGGGTTGCTTCAATTGTGGAGGTAACTACTTGCTCAGGGACTGCACCCTCCCGCTCAACACATCTAGAGCAGCAACCCGTAAGATGGAATACTACGCAAAGAAGGCAGACACAAAGCCAATTGCCGTCCATCATGTCCTCGCCGACTTATGCCAACAACTTGACATTGGCTCTGCGCCGGAAGATGACTCGGAAGAGGAGACAGAAACGACGGACATAACGATATTTGAAAGCATTCTAAGCGGAACTGACACAACGGATGATGTCGACTCCACAGAACATCCCACGGACTCAGGCAGTGATGCTATTAACCACGTCTACCTCACAAGCAAGTCATGTAACGTGACTGTAGGCGACCCCTTTCACGGGATATGCATAGATTCAGCCGCTCAAAAATCTGTCGTTGGTGTTGAGCAAGCCAAAGCATACTGTAGCTTGTTCAATATCCCCTACAGTCCTTCAACATCAAATGCCAAGAACGTTTTCAGCTTTGGGACGCACAAACATCTCGGGCTTGGTTTGTTGACAGTGCGGGTCCCAATAGCACCAACACACTTCATTTCTCTCTCGGTTGAAGTTGTAGATACCAATGTTCCCTTTCTCCTTGGACTGGACAACATGGAGAAATACAAGATGGTACTTGACACGGATAAGGGCATGCTATCTTCGAAGCTTGAAGGGTGGCAGATACGCCTTCGGAAGAAACTTGGCCACTTGTACTATGAATGGGGACCGAACATATTATTCACGGGGTCCGAACTTATGAAAGTACACAGACACTTTCATCATCCTGATTCTGAGCGCCTTTACTCCGTAATGAGCCGCGCTGAACCCGATAAGACATCACCGGAAGTACTCCGGACCTTGAAGCGAATCAGCTCTACGTGCGACCTTTGTCAACGTCGCAGTCGGGCCCCTCATCGTTTCAGAGTTGCATTACCTGATGCGGATGTAGTGTTCAATCGAACCTTATGTTTGGACCTTATGTATCTGGAGAACACACCAGTACTGCATGTTGTGGACAAAGACACCAAGTTCTCTGCAGCTGCATTCCTCGGAAAGGAGACTGCAGACGCAACTTGAAACACTTTCATGAACATTTGGGTCTGTGTGTACATCGGTTTTCCCGACGCGATGGCAACAGACCAAGGACCACAGTTCAAGTCACAACGATGGAAGACGCTCTTGTTGTTGGCGGGAATCAAGCACTTCCAGTCTGGGGTGCAGAGTCATAATGCTTTGGGCGTTGGAGAACGATATCATGCCTTTCTGAGGGATATATATCGCAAAGTCCGACTCCAACACCCAGGGATTGAAAGGAGTCACTGTCTTTCGTTGTCATTAAAAGCAATGAATGACACGGCAGGATATCATGGTTTGGTACCTACGCTCCTCGTGTTTGGTGCAATGCCAAGGATACCAATTGTTCCTATGGACTTACCCGCGCAGATGAACCGTATGAAAGCTATGGAATCTGCGCGAAAAGAGATGGCGTCTGTCATGGCCAAGGAACGAATTTCTAGGGCCGTGCGCATGAACGTCCCATCCGCAGCGGACAATGATATTGTAATAGGCTCTCGTGTACTTCTCTATCGAGAAAAGCCAGAGGAACAATGGACTGGACCATACCTTGTTCTTGATGTCAAAGACAAGAGTGTAACGATACAGCTCGAGGGAAAGATTATGAATGTATCCATCGACAAAGTTAAATCCTACAACAGCCCTCCTGTTATCCCAGACTGCACACCGCCTGCAGTGAATAACGATGATTCGTACAATTTCACTGCCGACAATGAAGATGTGTTAAGGGATATAGACACGATACTTGAAAGAATCAGGGGGACGCCTCCTCCAGCACCAAACGGGTTTAGCGATACTGCGCGACAGGATGTAAATCTGCCGTTAAGCACCCCCGACATGCTCACAAGAAATGAGATCACGTCTGTAACGCAAGCACTCATGACACATGTCATTGATCAAAGCGACATCGCTACAAAATCGTCTAAGTTCTGTAAGGCCATGGAGGAGGAGGTGAATGGACTGCAAAAAAGGGAAACATGGCAAGTAATTCCCAAAACGTCGTTGCCCCACAAGGCAAATGTCCTAAGTGGTCGTTTCGTCCTCACTTTGAAGAACTTCGGTTCTGCAGACGAACGCGCTAAGGCTCGCTACGTTGCCCAAGGCAACCGCGATCAAGATAAAGCACATATGGTCCACAACATTACGACTCTACGTCAAAGTTCGACTAGGATCATTGTGTCGGTATCTGCGATCAAAGGATTTCGCCTCTTTTCTCATGACGCGAGACAAGCCTACCTACAAAGCGAGGACAAACTGACACGCAAGGTGTTTCTCCTCCCAAAAAGGGCAGATCTCAAGTATTTTGGTCTTTGTGAGGAGGACATACTCGAACTTCTTAAGCCTATATATGGTATGACAGACGCTGGAGACTATTGGGGAGTTACAGTTGACCGTCACGTCAAGCGTGACTTAGGCCTAGTTCCTCTACTCGGGGACCCCTCGTTATATGTGAAACGAAACGAGGAAGACCTTGACGGCCTGCTTGGAATGTACGTCGATGACAGCTTCCTTGGTGGAAATGATGACATGCAAGAGCTTACCAAACTTTCTCTCAAGAAGTTTGACTCAAAGGAACGAGTTTGGGACAACTTTGAGTTCTTTGGAACCTCAATCCAAACTCATGCAGACGGCTCGTTCTCAGTTACACAGGAAGCTTATACAAAGAAGCTTAAGCCTATACCAATGGACGCATCATTTGAACGTTTTAGGTCTTATCGGTCTGTTCTGGCATGGATTGGCTACACACGACCTGACGCTCTATGTGCCATAAACAAAGCCGCGCAAGTAACGGAGAAGACTTTCGGGATTGAAAAACTGAAGTCTTTCAATTGCACAGTTAAACACCTCAAAGGGACACATAGCAGGTTTCTAAATTTCTACACCCATTGCAGAAGGACTCTCTTCACATGAGGGTCTACACTGATGCTTCTTTTGCCGGAAATGATGATCTTTCGTCGCAACTCGGGTTCATAATTCTGCTATGTGATACTTCAGATCGTGCTCACATACTGGAATATTCAAGCAGAAAGTCGAAGAGGGTAGTTCGGTCTATACTCGGAGGAGAAGTATACGCTTTTGCTTCCGGTTTTGATCGTGCTTTCATTCTGCGACACGACTTGGAAACGATCTTTAGAATGAAGATCCCGCTGCATATGCTGACGGACTCACTACAGATGTTTGATGTGATTACAAAAGGTTCGTCCACCACTGAGAAAAGACTCATGATAGACATAGCCTCAGCTAGGGAATGCTATAACCGACAAGAAATCTCGCATGTAGGCCTCGTCGCCTCAGAACACAACATAGCAGACGGTCTCACAAAGGAGACCCCTAACAACGCTCTTGAGAGGCTTATAAGTACTGGTTATGACCGCAATTCGGTCAAGAAGTGGATTTATCGTACACAGCCAAGTTCTGCCATCGGAAAAGTGGCAGTGTGAAACAATTATGATACTGAGGCACATCCATTTGTGTTGTTGCTGGATGCGTCAGAACTTGTCTTTCTTTATGGTACTGTAAGGGTTAAGTAGTATATAAGTAGGGCTCGCGCTTCGGACTGTAGGTTCGTTCCGGGCCAGAGGTTTGTGTCAAAACGCAGAGCCTACCTGCGAAAACTGTCCGACTGCACGGACTTCGCACGGGCTCAGACGGTCGGTCGTAGACCTGTCCATTGACACTTTAATAAAATCTCTTTTTCTAATTCTTTAAAGGAATTCCTCACGAAATCCCACACAAAGAGTCTCAAAAATAAAGAAAAATCTATCACATGAACAGTTACAAGTCCAATATATTTGTCACTATACAGAGTTTGTCACTGTAGGCGAGCGTGTCATTATTCTGGGGAGAAGCCGCCATTAGGGGGCCATATGAGGAGGGGGTTCGCCTTGAGACGGCATATCTGTCACAAGAACAGGGACTGTCATTACTTGAGGCCGTCAGTCGAGAGGGACTTTACTCTGTATGTACCGTAGTAGTGATATCGGGCAGAGCTGTAAGGATATGAACGTAGGAGAAGATCCTAGAAAGGATGAGCGATATCCAACAGTCAACACGTCTCCAAATGTCACGAATTTCAGAAAAATTATTTATTGCTGAGAGAAAGGCTGCGCCGTTCTTTATAGCATCAAGCAGCGCTGGCAGTCTCATATTTCCAACCCTTCCAGTCTTCTCTTCCTCACTTGCGACCCGCGACCTGAATTCGGAGCTCTTAGTGCGTTTATGTCGCACAGTAATAACGTATCACAACAACGACCCCGAATATTTGATCTCTGTCAGAACGATGTGCGCTCTTGGTTTTCGTTCCTTTCCAGTCCAATAAGGGGATGCTGTTCTTGAGATATGAGGACAAACGTAGAGTATGGCTCCGCAATACACAAATGGCTAAACACCACATCCAAAGAAGAAAAGCAGCCGAAGTCTAGTCTTGTCGTTATCGACGACCTGCGGAGGGATGTTTTCCACAGCGCCCACCTTCCCTTCTCTCCTCTTGACACCTGGTTGTGTTCTGGCAATGCGGACAGCTTCCCCTCCACTGGTCCTTGATCAGATGCATCTTCACGTGTAAAATCATGTCAGGCTTCCCCCCTTCGCCATCCCAGTTGTCTTGGGGCTGAAATGAGGCTGTTCCTCGCACAGTAGCAAAGCGGCGACGGGAGTGCTGGCCACTACCTCCCTCTCGCTCATGTTTCGTCTTATGCGCTCTCTCATAGCTCCCCTCCCGCTCGCGCCCCTTCGGTTCCCTGTGCTTTGGGCCTGGTGATGGCGACCGAGGCATTACTTTCGGAACGCTCGGCATCCTGCGGACAATATCTTCATCGGGCTGGGAGTGGTGGGAAAATTTCGCTTCTTGACGCGCCGTGTCTGGTAGGCTTGATGAATGCACGTTCCACAATGACCTCGTTGAAGTTGATGGCCCCTCAGGTGTTCCACAGACTGGAGCGAAGCCTTCATCTGCACCCCATCTCGTCTTCTCAAACGAGACATGGATTTTTGGGTCGAAAGAGTGAGAGTATGTTCTTAGAGACTCGTCTTTTGAGTCGAAGCTCGGTATAGTGGTATGATGCAGCAAGGGGGATTGATCCTTAGGCGACAGAGGTGGGGCCGATGCAGCCTCAGTGGCTGGCGCAAGTACGTCAAGCCCTTCGTTCTGTGACAGCTGACTCGGGAAGGCGCTTCCACGCCCCGGAGGAAGGCGAAACGAAGGCATGGGCCTCTGTGGCCACGACACAGGAAACTGCCGGTGCCAGTCGGTGTGCCTCATGTCATGGTCTGCGGCTCCTGATGGCGAAGCTGCTTCATGCATAGGTGTCCACGAGTTGCCACCGTAAGGACCTTGTGGTTGCTGTTCTTGTACAACTGTTGGAATGGGGATTGGCTGGCTTCTATGCGACTCACACGCCGAGCTTCCAGGGTATCCTGGCAGGGTGTACGGTTGCGGCATGGGATAGAAATTCGATGGGCCTGAATGGGGACGCGTTGGACTTTCACGTTGCAAAGGAGGACCGAGGACACGGTGCCAGTTCACGACGGGATCATAGCAACGGGGACATTTGAATTTTGAGATTGGTGGGCTTTTGATGTACTGATTTGATCGCCTGGCTTCATCTTTAACCTTGTCGATGCATTCCATGTGAAACGGGGTGCAGCCACAGGAAAGGACAATTTTGTCAAGCGGTGACACGATTTGGTGACATTTGTGGCAACGGTCCATGGGGCGATGTGCTAGGGGATGATGACCGGACATTGCGGAAGTTGCAGGCGGGACAGACATTGGCGTAGGGTAGAAACTCATGTGGCTGAATGGCTGTGGGGCGGGCATATGTATCGATTGATGGAAGTCCGGCACTCAAATGTCGGTACGCAAAAGCAGTGAACAAACGTCACGGTGTGGTCGAGGCTTGATACTTGCGCGTTTGGCCACTTAAAATGAGATTCAACATTCGTGAGAAGTGGAAGATTATGGCACAAGGAGTCTCGGTTTTGGGTGTGGAGACATAGTCATTATCATGTTGTGTCTTGAAAGTCTAGGTGCTGATGTGAACAGTGAGCTGTTCACGTGTATCTCAAGACAGTAGGGCGGTGACGAAACGTAATGGTGCGAGACTTAAACGGCATGCCCAAAGGAAAATATTGCACCCCTGATATCTCTTAAGCATTGCTTAAAGAGATATCTTATGCGGGGGTGCATGAGTCTATGATGTGATGTTCAATGCTGGAAAGAGAAGCTGCAAAGAGAAGCCGCAAAGAGAAGCCGCAAAGAAAAGCCGCAAAGAGAAGCAGCATAACTTGTGCTGTGACGGAGTGCGACGTCACACATGTTTGTCACTTGCTGACGGAGTGTGACATGGCGTACAGCACAGAGGTGTGTGTGTCTTCCACAAAACATGAAACATGCATACAACGGGCAAGTTTGGCGTTTACTTGTAGGTGTGCTCCAGTAATGGTAACATGCCCTAATCGTCCAAACAGAGCTTTTCTGGTTTCTCTTCTGTGTGCAACAACGAGCCTAGTTTTAGACAACGGTTTGCAAAGGTATGATACTACTGCCCGTACATAATTGTACAACTTGAGTCTGTCACATAATCATGACAACAGCTCGGGGAAAAATGGACAGTGTAGGGATTAAGTTACCCTCTAGCACTACGCTGCTGAACAACAGTACAATAGGGTGGCACGTCGCGCAGCTGAGGCGATGTGGTTGCACAAATATGTGCACGGCGGAGCAGATTCCACAGCACTTGAGATAGCAGGTCCGGCAATGCAGATACTTGTACTGTTGTAGTGCAGTAGAGAAACCAAAATTATGGGCATTACAAGAATATCTATACCGTACCCTTGGTACCCTTCGAAGGGTATTTCCCGCAGTTGCACTCGGGCCACATGCAAAAACTTATGCAAAACTGTACTTTGTGTATGGACTTTTACACGAGAACTCAACATTGAAAATCATTTTACTGCACCTGCTCTTCGTTCAGGGATACTGCTGCATGCTACGTACTACCAAGGTACCCTTCGAGGTATCTTAGTACAGCTGTATCATTGAAGCGTAGTCTTCTTTTGTACTCGTGGATTTATCTGAGGTTTTTACAATATTTTAAGATCTACGGTGCACAAGTTGGCCGGTTTTTGCCCCCTATTACTGCCTTTTAAATTTCTGTCTTTTACATGCTTACTTTTCCTCAAAATTTTCTTCGACCACAATCAGAAAAGCGGAAACTGCATCGCCGGCCAAGCCTCCTGCTTCCATTGTACTGTCGGTGGAGCCAAACTGAACCCTTATTTGCGGAGCCTCCACTGCTCATGTCACCAAAACATAAAAAGCCCAACTTTTTGAAATGCATGCCACTACGGAAGTATCTATCGTGTACAGTAACCGTACAGCACTCAAGTTTACGACTTACTTCTTGAGCGATGAGAAGGCAATGCATAGCTCTGCGATACCTCACCGATTTTCTATGACGCAATGACAATATGCTTTGCTACGGTATTGGCGGGCATGGGTCGTTTTCAATGAGATGCAAATGCATCCAAGTACGTGGGCCATTCGACCTCTTCATCGGCCTGTACGAATGATGTTGTGGACAGAGTTTGCGCATCCTTGTTGAGGAAATTCGTATATATAAGAATGTTTCCTCCACACAATGGAAATGGCAGCAGGTGAGATCTCTCCGTGGCTGTTTCACGGTCTAAACATTTGCTTTTATGCTCGCATTGTTTTGCGAAAGGGAATGTACACCGAGATTTACTACAAACTTCCGTCCTCAGCTTGTAAAACGTGGGACAGTCACAAATTTTCTCTCGTACTCGAGAATACTGTACAACTACACGAGCATGTGCGATATTCAAGCTCCAATAAGATGCTCGTTTTGTTGCAATGCTCATGAAAAGATGGATGGTGTGAATTTCCAAGCAAGGAATCTTGAAGATTCTTCAACGTACATGCCCTCGCCAATAAAATCTTGCAAAACATTGAGATATCAGTTGTCAATACATAGAAAGTCTAAGAATCCAATAAAGTTTCAATTTCAGTATGGCGTTTTGGTTTCGAAAATATCAACACATAACGTTTTGAGGTTGGCCAAAAAGGCTTCTTTTTTAGGCCTCCTAAAAATGGCTGGAAAAGACGTGCACATCTCACCAACTCCATCCTTCCACAACGCACAAGTCAACTGCAGTGGCAAGAGTATCTTTTCCCTCTTGTTGAGAGGGCACCAGTCGAGAAAAAATAACTTGAAAAGTAGCCTCATATGAGGTCACTTGTCGTCTAGCTAGGCCTCTAGTTACAGTACAAAAATACATGCGATCTGCCGCATTATGCGTCAGGCTTGGCCTCATGTGAGGCCACGCGTTTTTGTAAAGAGGCTAAGGATCAGATGGGGTTTAAGTAACAGTTTCCTTTCGACACGGGCGTTATAGTTTCCAAGATATCAATACAACACGTTTCAAAATTGCTCAAAAAAGGTCCTTTGACAGGCATTTCATAAAAACGGCTGCAGAGGATAGGCCGTTCTCATTAACATTTATCCTTCCGCAACGCAGAACACAAAAGTAAAGTACGGTGGCGCGGGTGTTTTTCGCCTTCATATAGAGTAGGCACAGGTCCAGGAATTTTGGCTGCAAAGTAGCCTCATAGGCGCCATTTCACCTCATCTGAGGTTACTTGTCATCTAGACACTACTGACAACAGAAATTTCTTTCAACTTTGCGAATCATGAAGATAGAAGGGGTGTCATTCCATTTTAGTCGGCGAAACCGAAAAGCTCGAAAAATGGCCTCTGGTTCGGCTCTGGTCTAGACAATATGATTTCCGTGTGGACAACGTGTGAAAGCCTTGTTCACTATGTTTCATAGGTCGGAGCTTCCTCGACGAATACTCGACAACTACATGTTTTCTTTTGCACGGCTTGCTCGCTGTCACTGAAAAACTGCCTCGAGCGCATACAGGCGTGCACCATTCGAAATTCGTCACAACTTGGAAAACTTTGGCGCATCCTGCCCTGTGTTGTACAAGCAAGCGTCGCAATTGTGTAGTTCTCGGAGAGTTACGCTATAATTTATTGAAATGTTCTGGAGGAATTCGAATTGGTGTCAATGCATGTCCCAAGAGCTCATACAGCACGGTGTTTGTCAGACATGTTTTGGATTCTACTGTTGTCCAGCACCATTCGAATATGTAAGGAGAGGCAAAATGTTTTGTTCTTGGTAAGGGACATCTGGAGATGATGTTGGTTTCAGTACTTCTCGGGGAAGAAACACCGAAGTGCTGTGCAGTATGATTTGAGTTGAGAAGAGTTGGATGGAACTCAAAAACCAATGCGCAGTGCGCCTATCACCTGTATCGATCAGAAGGACAGCAATTGTTGGCACCAATTTATCAGCCGAGGGTATGTCAATGTGTAGGAAGCGTTTGACCGCTTGACTAGAGTCGATTCTCCAAGTTTATTTGTCTCAAAAGCTGCAAGGCGAAGACTATAAACTAAGAATCAATGCGACATTGTTCTCTATGTGGGCTGTTGCTGCATTTCGTGGCGGCAACAGCAGGTGGCGAAACAAATTCAGGCCACAGACAAAGGCCAAACGAATCCCTACTCGCGGCCTACTGTATCGCACTAAAGACAACTCAAAAACTGTAGATTGTATGCTTTGCCATTGAACTGGAAAGGGGGAATGAAGCCACACGTAAATTTAGGCGATCTACAGCATCAACACACCGTGCGTTTTTATTCGTTGTCGCGGATGAGCGCGGTTCACAAGGTGAACAGTTCACCACACTGTCCACTTCACTGTGTGTTCACAGTGTGAACTTCACACACGGTGAAACTCACATGAGCTTCATATCTATGGAAGACGAGATCCGCCAATGACTTACCGGGAGTGACGTCAGGACCCGCCATCAGACCAATAAAAACTAACCCTATCATCCTGTCATTGGTCGAAACTGAGAAAAGCGGATCAATCTCATCGGTGTGCCTGCAAGGACCCTCATGAAAGTTACACCACCTACCTCGTCTTCTCTCTCTATATAAATGCAACCCTCTTCCCTTTCCCGGACCATCAGCACCCCCCCCCCCCCCCCCCTGCGCTCGCTAGTCCAGCTTACGGAGCTCTAATTTTGGTAATGTATACCAACACTTTGACCCAAACCCCCCCCCATCCCCACCCCCCGTTCGAAGTCATTTCCCACCAACTCAACACTAGCAATGGCGTCCGACTCCCACACTGTCCCGACTCTCTATCATGTCAAATGGTACTCCTCCTCTATGCCCTACCTTGTTCTCCAGGAGCTCGAAATTCCCACCTCTGAAGTCGCAGTCAAAGAAATCTCTGATGTCGATCTTAAGAAGCATCCTTCCATTCCTGCCTACTCTCCTCGTCGTGTGGTCCCCTTTCTCGTTTTCCCTGATGGTTCTGTCTTGCTTGAGTCTGTGGCGATCGCACTCTACGTTTGCGAAACTTTTGACAAAGACAACAAGATTCACCCTCCTGTAGGACATCCCAATCGCCCGCTCTTTCTCCAGGGTGTCGTATTTACCGTTGTTGAAGGCTACAAGGCAGTGATGGAATGTTTCGTGCTATGCTATGGTATTGACGAGAATAAGAGGGATATGGAGAAGCTCGGCCCTGCACGCGACAAGTTTAAGAAGATTTTTAATGCCCATTTGATCAAGGCCCTCGATGGCGGGAAGAAAAAGTACTATCTCGGGGATAAGTATTCGGCAGCTGATGCAATGATGACCTATATCTTGATGACGGCTGAGTATTGCGGTTGTGGAATGATTGAAGATGAGGTCGTTGAAAAGTATCATTCCTGTATGAAAGAGAGGCCGAGTTATTCCAAGGCCTTTTGCCCGTGAGTGGTTCCCTTCAGGTGTCGTTTTCTTAGCTTTTCGATAGTCTGGAGTTCTATTGCAAGGGCTTAATTCTGCATCTGCTCTCAAACGCAACAGTACGTTGTAACGTTAGCATGTTTTTATCTTCCCTAGTGTTCTGAAATTCTCCCACTGGAATGAGATAGTTCATGAATGGTAAAATTCCTTTCTTCGTAAAGAAGTTTATTCTCCTTGTTCTTCGTAGCGAGAAAGCAGTCGTTTGATGCCCCCCGCGCTAGTTTGAACTGCAAAGCGAGAACGCTTCAACGCTACTGTTTCGATAGGTACCTCTAATTCCTTTACAGTGCATTCAATTTGCATTTTCAAGGCGTTGCATAGAGCTGCAAGGGGCCCTGAAGCAGTACTTGTTACTGAAAATTGGTTTCATACGCAAACCTTAATTAGGAACGCAGAGAACCCCTTCAGTCAAATATAGCATCATTGTCCAGTCGCAACAAGCAAACCATGAAAATCAAGAATGTTCTGAATTTTGCACTCAGAGAACAACCTGTTCTTACGCTCGTTGTGATTACGAAACCAAACAAATAGCAGCGTTCAGGCCATTAGTGGTATGGGGCAAGATGTAGTAGTGGGTTCCGCCATCTCGATTCCAGCAATGGCAGCCACGAACACGGGGACTTTCTCTTCAATTGTTCCCCTATCATACCTCTCTCCCCCCCACAATTGATGGTCTCGAATTTCCCATATTGACGGGAGTCCCTCTATTCTCGAGTCTTGGTTAGGTAATTGCACCGATAACGCATATGACAAGGAGATCCGTATCGGAAATATTACCCAACGATATCCAGAAATTGCCCTCTCGCATTTTTTTATTCAACCGTAATTCAATAGGTAAACCTTTTACCTGCTGATCAAAAGAACAGCTCCATGTTAAGACTACTGGAGCACAGTCTGACGCACACTTCTTGCGTCGCACTATCTTTCAGCGTCATGTTTGTAAAGAGATCACGGCGGGATCGAGAATTCACATATTGTACATTGCCTTAGCATGGCATTCTCACAAGAAAACGACCCCATGTGCGGCATCAACGACAAATGCCCAAGGATCACACCATGCTGCAGGCTACGACTTGAGCTTTTCGGAGAGGCTCAACAACAAATCGGCTTTCAAGTCAGACAAATAGCCCCGCAGCGAATCTGGATTAATGCTTCCTCCATTGCTCTCAATAGTTTCTTTGAGAAAGTAGCTGATGCGACTCCGGATATCTGAAATCTCCTCCGTAGAAAGCAGATTTCCGACAGGGGAAGCAGATGACGAGGCAGCAGCCGGCTTCCTCGGGATAGGTTCACTTTCCATCACATCATCGCGGTTCCTCTTCCTCGAGAGACGCCAGTCACCGTCGATAACATCTTGCAGGATCTCTTCGTCATTTGTGGCGTTTAGAATGGAAGTATCTTCCTGTGCGGGAGCGCCGATAAAGTCGCCCCTGTCAATGATATAACTTGCGCCGGCGGTGTCATACAGTTTGCAACAATCGGTGCAGCGGCAAAGCGTGAGACGGAAGCCTTGCCGCCAGACAAAATCTATAGCGCCAGGTTTGAGGGCGATATCGGCATTGCAAGGACGGGTGCATCGACTTGATCTGCGGTCGGGTGACTTGATGCGGGATTTGTCGCGACCCCAGATGTTGTACAGCTCATAATACTCTGTGAGAACCGGTAGAGTGGCAACGCAGTCACGACAAGTGAATTCATACACAAGGTCGAGATTATTATGACTTGATTTGGAGCCGCGTCTCACGGAATCTGTCTTGAAGCAGTTTTCGTGGAACCAGTCCTCGCACATGGCGCATTGGACCATGGCGAGACTTGCATCATAGGTGTTATCGCATCGGCAATAACGGCCGACAAAGTTGTGGCCGTAGCAAGATTCGTTCTCGAGGTTGATATCGTCCTTGTTCGGCTGCAAGGAGCAAGCGTTTCGAGCGCGGGTGTTCCCGCAGTCGCAACGAAAATGACGCTTGGTGTAGAGCTCGATGACAGAATCTGGGTGGTCGCTGTGACACGATTCACGACATCCGCGGCAAAAACCGGAGAGCTGCCCGTTGGCGGCTTTTGTGCATTTGATGCACGCGTACATATCCTGGCGTACATAGCCTAGATCGTATGTGCACGGACGTATAGGCTTTGCATACTTGCCGGCGGAGGAACGTCGACGCGACTTCGGCATGATGAGCAAAAAGGAGAGTCGGGAGAGACGGGAATGTGCACAGCGACGCAAGGTGAAAGGGAATGGGGGAGATTCGGAGGGAAGAGTGTGAGGCGGCGGGGGGAACCAGGCCGTTCAGATGGTTGTTGGCGCGAAGACTAAAAAAGAAAACGAGGAGCGATAAAATTGCAGGTCATCAGTCTCGAGAAGAGAGTCCCCAAACACGGTCCAAATTCGCGGGCATTGGAGGACACGTGGACACTGCTGCACAAGGCTGGAATGAATCGGGATCCTATTCCCAATTATATCCGGATTAAAGCCTGCTCGTCGCAATCCATTACGATTGGTCGATTAGGATTTGATCCAAATCTATGCCACGTGGCCACGTGCACATCGGAAACGTGGAAACGTGGAGGAGCATTTTTCCGTCACATATGATACTTCGAGATCCCACAGGGGTTCAAGGTTCCAGCCTCTGCCAGAGCACACTTTCGCTCTTCGCAACTCTGCATCTCTCGATCCGAAGAAAAGCAAAACGTCCTCGGAACGAGGTGATCGCAGCTGGTTCATTGTTAGTCTTTTTCTAAAATGCGTACTCCGTCAATAGATATGGTTGTCCCCCAAATTCGGCCGCCTGGCAGCCTAGCTGCGTGGCTAGACGTTACTGCATCGCGCAGTTGTCCTCCTCCCCCGCGTCTAGACTCGTTTTTGAGTCCTTCCCGCCCCGTGGATCTAGCCTCTCTCGCATCCGAAAAATGCGTATCCTCGATTCCAAACCTTTCCAATTCTCCCCCTGCTCCACAAGCGCATCCAACTCGGAACCATCCACGTTCCCGTTCATCACACCATCGGACGGCGCTTCCAACTCCTCCACCCCGTCCGCAATATCCGCCCACCCAGCCACCTCACCACTCCTCAATGTAACCCCATTGTCCACAGCATCCTTGATCCCCCGAAACACGACCTCTCTACTCAACTCCCCCCGCCCCGCCTCTACCGCCGCGACCCGTAACAACATCCTCCACACAAACCCCACCATATCCTCCAATGGTCTCTCCAAAAAAAATGCGTTGAATCTCTTCTCCCTCCCCCATGGTAACCGCAACCTCACACAAACCTCATTCCCCATCATTCCAGCGATAGATACTCGACACGGCGTCGCGCACATGTCCCGCCAATTGTCGCCCACCAAACATAACACATCATTGCACTGCTCAATCGCATGTCGCTTTCCCACGCCAATGTCCAACACCGCCTGTAGCGGCTCGTGAAGCGCGGTCGCCCATTTCGATACCGTCGCCACCTGCTCGTCGTAGCCCCGCCACCAGTCGCGCTCGACTTGTTTTGCAAGCTGCTTCGAGTACTGCTTGAGCATCTTCTTGAGTGGTTCAGGCTTTAGTCGATTCCATTCTTCTTTGCCCAAGCCCAACTTTTTGGCTGTCACAGATACTTTGCGCATCTTTTGTGGACGCGCCGAGGTGTCCTTGTCGGAAGGAAGATGCTTCCCGGAAGAGAAAAGCTCTTCTGCTCGCGCTTGCGCGAGTACCCGTTTTCGCTCTGTCATCTGTAAAAAAGGCGTCAAGTTGTGAAAAGAAAGGAGATTCCAGAGGCACAGAACGGGGCCGGCGCTGCGACAGCAGTGAGAGATTGTCCCGCAATTGCCGCGTCCTCGTTGCCCCAGCGCTCTTTTTTACTTTTTCGCGCCAAAATTTTGATCAAACGTTGATCACTTCCAGAAAACGCCATGGCTAATTTCCTCCCGCACTGTACAGTAAGATACAGCGGTGCACACGTCACAACGAGACACGATTCTTGTTTTAATTGACAGGTATTTAAAAATATTTCCAAAACACCAAATTAGTAGTGGGCACGTTTCTCTGCCCTTCGGGAAAAGGGCAGAGGTTTACAGTACATGCCCGTGCCAGCGCAACAACTGATGTGATTGTCCTTCTAGAAGCTCCAATACGCTTGGAACTTACTTGGAACTTACTATTCTCAGACTCCACCATGTACGTGTACCGCGAATCTTCTTTGTACAACGCACAATACTGTCCACACTGCGCTTGCTGTGTACCATGCGTTGGAGGCAAAAGCCAACAGAGGTGAAACAAGCTTGGTCATCCTCACACGTTCTTTGCAACGTTGCATTTAAAATGGCCCCTTCTTTTCACTGTTCTACATCCATCTGAGGCCTCCATAACGCATGTTCTTTGAGAGAGGTCTTCTAGTTGAGCAATTCCGGTAGTGAGACTTACCGTAGAGGAGAGTGATCCCTCTACCGTCAAGCATAAGGAATTTTGATCCCATATTGTCTGAGATTAAGTCCTGCAATTGAGGCCTCATTTTTGAAGGACTTTTCAACTAGATTGAGAATTCAAGTTTGAGGATGTTTTATGAACAGAATCAGCAATTGAGTGAGAGCCGTGCCATGGTGATAGACCAGATTATGAGGCGATTCAAGAGAGTGACGAAGTGTAATGCGACGCGCTGGGTTCACATTTCTGATGCCTGAAAACTTGCCTCTCAGATAATTATCTTCGAAAGCGAGTACATGTCGTAACCGAAAGCCGACAAAAGATGGAGCTTCATCGCGTTCTTGGGCCTTCAAGGCAATCAACATCGTTCATGTCCCAGCGGTGTACGAAGTGCATGTATGTAAGGGAAATTGCGTTAAAGAGACAAACGGAAATCACTATCCAAATGGAAGAAAAAAAAACCATGTGCTTCTACCGTTGAAAAGCTGTCTTCGAACAGTTCAAGGCAACCTGACTTTGGTTAGAGGCATTGCGCGATACGCGGGTTGCTGAAGCCCTGGGCTGTCCTTGAAATATCACACCTTTCCTTCGTCTGACACATCGTGTGCTTGTGACAAGCCGGCTGGCAACCGGCGGAGAGCGATGCTTTGCAGTTGTCAGAAGTGCTCGAGCCCCCACGTGCCTGCCTGATTACATCCCTCGACAAATTCGAGTGCGCACTATTCATTCATTCATTCTTTGAAATACTCACTCTTTCAACTTCAAGTTAAATTAACATCACTGAGAGTCTGCATAGATGTAAATTAAATTTAAAGTAGCTGCACAATGCTTGGTCCTAAAAAAAAAAGTATCTATATCTCTAGTGCAACACATGAAAGCGAAAGATGCAAGAGCTGCACCTCGCGTGCCTTATGCAGCTCAACAAAACACGTTCTTGTTCCACGCACAAATAATGACGATACCCGTCTGACATAATGGCCTTATTCACTCGTTTTGTCTAAGTATGCTCCACCAACATTTGCGTTAGTGCACCTCAGCCCTTCAAGGCGAAGAGGACCACCGAAACTTTCTGATGAGATACTGATTCATTCCGAATGAATGAGCAGGGATTTATCAGATTTGCAAAGCGCTCTCGTTCCACTCTCCCCATCGCCGAAATCGTATTGGTAGACTTCCAATGCCAATATGGCTGAACCAATGCGTTGAGTATCAAGAGTCTTCTCTTTCGAGTGACAAAAGGAAGAGAGTAAGGGGTTTGGTGTTCGAAACGTACAGTATGCACGCACTGTATACGATGCAAACCCCCACCCGAGCAATAAGGAACTGAGTTGTTGGAACGTTGAGCGGATAGCCAATCTCATTCAACTCGCAACGACGAGGGTTGTGTCTCGTTTGTAAACAATGGGACAGACTCAATGAACGTGGCTCACCCTCGGTTCTTCATTCACATGAAAGTTGTATTGTACTCGACCAAAGAATATGGTTTGAGATCGAAACACAGATTGCAGTCCTTCCCCGAGAATGGGAAGTTGTACGGCTTGATTAGTCTGTGCGAAGATGAATGGAAGCTGTACGAATGCGCTTGAAGAAATGAATGACAGCTCGATCCCTCACTCCCAATTTCTATAAGTACCCATAACTCTGTGCCCATCCCCATCACATTCATCTCTTCATCTTCATCTTCTCAGCTTCATCTCCTCAGCCTCTTTCGCTTCATTGTCAATTACCGTGCTTTCAGAAACATGAATACGTCTACTCTGGTCGTTGCCTTTGCTGTTGTCTTAAGTCTCGGCCTCAGCCGTGCAGATGACATAATTACGAGATCCAGCACGGAACTCACATGTGGAGGCTGTATCGCAGACGGTCAAGGTCAAGCCTTGGTTCAAGAGGATTGTGATAATGGTGTTTTTGACAACTTTTGCAAGACAGGGGATTGCTTTTGCCCTTTTACCAGCGTAAGGCGCGCAATGATCTCATGTGTATCCGACGCTTGCCTCGACGCGAATACTTTGCGTGTTACCGACTTTTCTTTGGAATCCTTTGTCAGGCCTCCTCGTCAAGTTCTCAAGTTTGAAGTACAGGCTAAGGCATACGACCAGGATTCGCAGTCAGCAGGTGATTGCGACGCTACTACGAAAGTTCAAGCTACATTATTCATTCTGGTGAACAAGGCCCTCAACAAGGATTCGAACAGAGTTGAAGCTGCCATCAAAGAAGCTGCCATCAAAGCCACTGAGGGCAATGGTTTTGTTTGTGAAGCGACACTCCGACGAATTGCTTCTCAGATCCTCATCAATGGCCTCTGATCAAGCTAGCGATACTTTTGCGCCCTGTCCAATGGCCCCGTATAAATAAATCCTCCCTTTAAGCTTCTTCTTCCCGGAGAAGCGCTTGTCATAATACTCCTCATGAAGGTGTTCGTGCCGCCATCTTGCAGCGTGAGCGCATATTTTTCGGGCTGTTATGTGGCGTCTTCTCTTCATGACACTGGCGTGTATCTACTACGACTGAAGAATTATTTCCTTTTATGAAACTTCCGAATAAACTCGAATGGCGATGCGAAACATGCTGCCATTCTCTAGACTTGCATATGCAGATATGTAAAGTAGTATCGTGTTCAAGATATACCGTATGTTGTGCTTGAACATACCGTACCCAACGGCACAGTACCAAGGGTACAGTATTACAGTATAAGGGTGCTACCCTTAAACTGTACCCGTACATCAATTTCTGATTTGTTTGTCTTTCTCGGCGCCTACACAGCTAATGTAAAACCACTCATGTCGCAAACTTGCCATGAGTGGTGGGTCAGCGTTGTTTCTTCTGTGGCACCACCAGACCGCCAAAACCGCGGCGAAAGTGTCCGCATCATTCAAGCATCATTTCCCCCCACACCCCCAACAATACTTGAACGCGTGTATCACGCTCTTTCCAGCGACAAAATATGTTCATCGTCAGAAGTAGGATACAAATCGGACGTCCTCTTTCTAGCATGTAGCCCGTTTGTGAGAAGACGGCCTGGACTACTCAGCATTTCCTGATTGTGCTTACCCGAACAGGATCGTTAATAATGATAATAGCCAGATCTACAAACCTCAACGCTTAAGTTGCGTCCTTCATCAGCGCTAGCGCACAGGGTTGTTCCACCCGCCATATGCATTCTGATAAACCGCGTCCCTCGGCAAGCAGAAAGCTGTCCAGTATGGTATCAGCGTTTGGATGTTCAACTTCTTTGGCCTCGTTGTACAGCCGCAACGCCTCTACCGTATCCTTCTCTACCCCTTCATCACCCCTACTGATTAGATCGGCGAGCTCCACGATCGCATAACTGCTACCGGTTTCGTCAATAACTCTCCGAAGCAGGTCTGAACCTTTCCTGGCATTTTTGTCCACGCGCGCAAAGCCGTACATTAAAGCAGAGGCGATGACCATCATGGCATCGTACTTCGCGAACAGTTGCACCCGTTCAGTCATTTCCAAAGCTATTGACACGTTTGGCTCAATTTCACCAGTGCCATACAGAAACACGTGAACAAGAATGATCAACGCCTCTGCGCCTCCTGTGCCGATAGCCCGCTCTAACACTTCCATCGCTCGAGGAATGTCCTTTTCTACACCTTCAGCCCCATGATAAAGAATATCAGCGAGATTAAAAGATGCAATAACCTTTCTTCCCACTATTGTACCAGGCGGCAATCCCCCCCTTCGCACTACATCATGCACCACATCCAATTCCTCATCGCTGGGCACAAAAGCGGGACCTTCTTCGACACCTTCATTGATAGCGCGCTGATACAACTCAACTGCTCGGGGCGCATCTCGCGGTAAACCGTATCCTCCGTCATTCAAGAGATCGGCAAGACTGGTGATGGCATCCAAGTTTCCTCCATCGATAGCACGCTCGTACAGCGCAGCTGCCCGCGCAAAATCTGGTTCCACTCCATCACCGCCATCCCGCAATACACGAGCGAGGCTGGGTATCACATCCAATTCTCCTTCATCGATAGCGCGCTCGTATAATGCGGCAGCCCGCACAGCATCTTGCTCTAAACCTTCGGCACCATACCATAGCAAGTCAGCGAGGCGACTCAACGAATTGGGGAACCCACCATTAATCGCAGTATCATACAACACCGCTGCTCGTGCTGCGTCTTGGTCCAATTCTTCGGCCCCACCTTCCAACAGGCAAGCGAGATTGTGCATGGAAACAACGCTTCCGGCATTTATAGCTTCTTCATACAAATGAACTGCTCGTGTGATATCTCGCTCCACCCCATCGGCGCCATCTGCCAGCAAAAAAGCGAGATTATTCATAGCATTTGTATGCCCCATTTCGATTCCATGCTCTAGCAACTCAACCGCTCGCAAAACGTCTCTTTCGACCCCTTCGCCGCCATTCTCGAGGAGAGAGCTTAATTTACTACACGCTTTGGTGCACCCTCCCTCAATAGCTATCTCGTATAACTCAATCGCTTTTGGAAGATTCGGGTTTATGTCTTCTGTCCCAAATTGCATGATTTCAGCAAAATTGTCTGCAGCACATGCATCGCCGGCATCAGTAGCTCGTTGAAACAATTCCACTGCTCGTTCAGAGTCTCGTTGTACACCTTCATCCCCTAGCACGAGCAAACAAGCGAGTTTCCCAAATGCGTCTGGTTCACCCAATTCAATCGCTCTTTCAAGTAACTCCAATGCTCGTGCCGGATTCCGGTCGAAGCCCTCAACCCCGTTCTTGAGTAAACCAGCATAAATATGCATAACAGTCGCATCGCCTTCATCGATGGCACGTTCAAAAAGCTTGACAGCTTTGGGAATGTCTGGCAAGACACCTTCGGCTCCAGTCTTCAAAATAAACCCAAGGTTATTCATAGCAATCGTACATCCCGCTTCAGCAGCCTTTTCGAACAACTGCGCAGCTCTTGGGATGTCCTTCTCTACACCTTCGGCTCCTTTCCAAAGAAGGCAAGCGAAAGACGTCATCGCATCCACATTCCCTTCGCCAACAGCGTGCTCGAATATCTCCATTGCTCGCACAGTATCGCGCTCTATGCCTTCCTCCCCGTTCACTAGCAAGCACGCGTAACCGACTGCAAACTCCACTTCCCCAAAGATCGCTCTTTCAAACAGTCGTCTCGCCCTCGGACCATCCTGTTTCACCCCGCGGGCACCTGTGAGCAATATTTCTGCCAGTATATACATAGCTTCATGATTATCGAACAGTTCAATGCATTTCTCGAAAAGCTGAGCAGCCCGTTTCTTGTTTGCTCTAACCCCGTCGTCACCGCTCTCTAGGAGTTTGGCGAGACACATCATTGATACCTCATCGCCCTGTCTCATTCCCTTTCTGAATAGACGAGCTGCAAGGCGGGGGTTCCTCTCCACGCCATCTAAATCCCATTCAAGCAGTATTTCACCTAACGTGAACATTGAAGGGATATAGCCCATCGTAGCAGACTTTGAATACAGAATACGAGCAGCGTGAATATTCTTTTCCATTCCGTATTTGCCAGACTCGTGGAATGTTGCAAGCATATACATGGCGTGAGAGTTTCCTTTCGCAGCAGCTCTTGAGAAAAGGTCGAGTGCCCTTGGAAGGTCTTGAACCACGCCATCCTCGCCGTGCAACAACGAAAAGGCAAAGCTGACCATGGCGGTTGTGTGTCCCCCACATTCTATAGCTTGTCGGTACCAGTACGTAGCCGTTCTCACACCGCCGTCTTCCTTGTCTTCAAGGAGGGAGCCTACGATTGCATGGCCACCATTTTCGGCGGCCGTCAAGGACAATTCTCTCGCGCAGGCTTCATCTTCAGGGAAGGAAATGCCGCAGGCCACCTCCAGCGCAAATTCGTAACATGCAGTAGCGTTGCCAGCACGCGCAAGAATCCGGTTGTAAATCTTTCGTAAACGCCTCTGCACAATGATGGTGAGAGACACGGCCGGTATGCGAAGATACGTTTTGAAGCAGAAGCACATCTCTACTTTGAAACGACGGTCGCCAACCGAGGCGGTAGGGGGAACAAAGAGTTCGATGATGCATATTGTTATTGCTCGAAATGCTTTGCTGTGGTGCCGATGGAAATCTTCATGAAGTGGCTTGGGGGGGGGGGGGGGGTAACCCTCCTACGACAAATGGAAGACTCCGGAAATACACACACAAATCGCAAATTGATTCGTACTTTTTTGCGATTACTGTAAAGCACGCCAACACAGCGTTTTGTGTCGCATCAAAGTTTGATTAGTGCCTTGGGAGCAGCACCAGAACATGTACCAAATCACCAATTTACCCAGCACATCAACGCAGCCACTCCAATTCCGTTCCTAAGAGAGACATGGTTATGTTGGGATGGGCGTTATGTTGGGATGGGCGTTATGTTGGGATGGGCTCTGTACAACACAACACAGGCTCTACAACACAACACAGGCTCTACAACACAACACAGGCTCTGAACAACACAACACACTTGAATTCGTGCCAATACAGTCGACCCTGCGCATTAGTGCCGCCCCGTGTAAAGACTAATAATACGGCACTAATTCGGAGCGGCACAATCAGATGGCAGAACCACTACCCGGCCAGAACTCTGTTATTAGAGTCTGCTGTTGTTGCCTTTGACCCTGTCTCTCATGCCTAGCTTCGAGAAAAGCTCGTTTTGCGGACCTCAAGTGCGATAACGCATTGCTCACATCGCACTCCACACCCAGACTCTCCAAAGACCCAAACAACCTTGCTAGCACTACAGCACTCGGTACGGCCCGCCTCTCCGTAATTTCGCACTCGTCTTCTGCCACACAATCATCCATCATAGCATCACTGGCAGATTGATTCTGTAGCTCTCCACCAAACTTTTTTGTTCCGAGCGTTGTAGCGGTTTTGGTCACAATTTGTTGGAGTGAAGGAAGAGAGCGTTTGATGTTTCGGATGGTTCGCTCTGAAATTTTGAACTGACGCATAACTGTGGTATTCGCATTCCCGACCTGCAGCAGATGCCCAACCTCGATTTTCTGTGCAATCGTAAGGCGCGTACGCTTCGCTTTGGCTATCTTTTCAGGAATCATGTTAGGGTCTTTGAGTGAGGTGCCATCACCAATTGAGCTGAGGCGCATGAGGAGTGGGCGATGACGACGTCGTCCATGGTGTTGGCAGTGTTTGAGAGCTGCGCGCGTAGGGGGAGGGAAAAAGAACAAAGAAGAGAAATTTATTATGTTCTACGTTCTGGTCCCCCCCCCCCCCCCCCCCCCCCCGATTATTTTCTTGTGGTGATGTCCTCCCTCTTATACACAAGAAAAGACGGCCTCCACTTGACGGAATAAATGCCTCTTGTCGGGAGATTTCTACTTTGTACACGTGGTACACATGCAGACCAATTATTAAACTACAGATTTGGGTGATGTCTCAGGGTATGTCCTGAGGTATGTCTTGGGGTTTGGCCTGGATATCCCTCCCGACACGACCCCCTCCCCAGACCCGAACCCGGGCGGGGCATAACATATAAGAGGTATCCTCTGTCTCATCCCGGGGTCCTCCCCAGGGTCAACCAGGTAGGACGTCCACCTTGACGCATTCTTCATCCCGAAGTGACACAATTTAGTGTCACCATCGACACCCTTCCCCCAATCGCTCCACGTATACACGTGTACAGCTCATCATCACTGTAAGCTTTCACTTCTATCTTTAACCTACCCACCTTTTCTAATTTTCATACAACTAACTTCGGTATTCCTGCGTTTTTCTTGAAGAACCTGACACCGCGTCAGGTCCTATTTGCCTCCAGTTTTAGAGATCGCTGATTGCTTGTGTGGCGGTACTCAGGTGAGGTTTTAGTCCTCGAGTCTGCCCCTTGCAAGAAACCTGATCTAAACGAGGATGGCGAAAACCAAGCAGACGGCGCGCCGCAGTACTGGCGGCAAGGCGCCTCGTAAACAGCTCGGGTCGAAGGCGGCGAGAGTATCCGTTGAAGAGCTCAACGCTCGTGAGAGAATAATGTGGCTATTGTCGCAAAGAACGGACTTAATGAAGGTGTCGAAGAATGAAGAAGCTTCGCCTCGTTTTCCGTACCATGTATGGGTTGGAACGAGGCTGACAAGGTATGACTTGGATTTGACCGAAATGCTCCGCCTTTTTGGTCGACATGTTCTCGTCCACGTAAGTGCGCGAAGAAAGCACGGGGTCTCGGTAGATGAGTTTTCCAGAGTCGGGTTGACTGAATCGATTGACGATGAGCGTGTTTATGATCACGTGGAGGATGAAACTTGGAATATTGAGTCCATCTGCTATAATAGACTCCCAAATAAGTACGTCGCCATCGACGCACGCGACAAGTCGAAGCACGCCATCCTGCTTTATACCTAACAAGTCTGTGGCGGGAACAAATCTTCTGGCCACCAGATCCAGAGCGACAAGTTCTACACCAACGGCAGAGACCACTTGTCAGCTTACCTTCTCATTGATGAGTAGTGTCAGAAGTATCCTGGGCGCTGGTTGGCAATGTCCACTTCCAGTGCCCGAACAGAGAGCTCTTTGGCGTCTTCTTTCCATCTCCACAACCTTGGTGCTACTCCCTATCAAGATCGGACTGATCTATGCATCCCAGCTGCCGTTTGCAACTCGATGCGTGCTCTCGGCGCGCGAAAGCTCGCCGATTCGTATTGGAAGCACTTCAAGGAGAATGCGAAGTCGTTTGTGCAGCATGGGAGTCTTCCGCGACGTATTCGTGATCTGAGAGATGCCAACAAGCATCTCAAACGAGAGGAAGTAGTTCTCGAGCATACCTTCGGATCGGTCCCAACGATAGGCAAACTTCTTGATGTCGAGTCGGGAGTGTTTGTTGTCACGCTTGAGGGGAGTTCAAACAAGTTGCATACGGTGTGCGTATCTTCAAAGGATCACATCATATTGGATTGTATGGAACCGTACCCCATGCCCTTCTCCCTTCAAGCTTTGAAACTCTGTCTTGTCCGTGCTTCCACCACAAGAGCGCTTAGCGCTTCCACTAAGCGTCGCAAACGTCGCAAGCTGAAAGCTGAAAGCAATAAGTCGAAATAGCCACGCTCTTTTCTCTTTTCTTGCCTATACGGGTTTCATGATAGCTATTGCATATATTCTCTACATGCATTAAACGATTTTATGCCTAAGACTTAGCCTTAAGCTTTAACAAAGGACTTAGGCTTCGAACTTCATTTCACGATATAGGACGAGTCGGCGAGCATGAATAGGCTTCCTGGATACTCTGCCGTGCTGCGACTCTAGCACATATCGCGGGTGGTGAACTTCCAAGATCCGGCACGGGCCGTAGAATTTGGAAACGAACGCGGGCCATTTCGTACCACCGAATGAAGTTCCCCGAGCGACAAGAACTTTGTCTCCCACTTCGAAGAAGTGAGACGACGACGCTACGAGCCTCTTTTCCACAGAGGCCCCTGAGCGAACTGCTCGTGGGACAGATCCAGTCAGGAGCTCCAAACGACGATGATGGTCTAAGGAAGGAACAACTAGGCTTGCACCTGTCTCTGCGTTGGAATCCAACCGAGGCGGGACCCCATACATTAATTCGAAGGGCGACACGCCGTTCTTCATGGTACGTCGGCGATATCCATACAGGACCTGGGTGAGTGCTTTGTCCCACTCCATTCCAGTTCCAAGAACTGTCTTACGGACGGCAGCCTTCAAAGTTCCAACCATTCTCTCTGCTCTACCGTTAGACATGGGAGCGTAGGCGAGGACGGTGCGCCAAGTGATACCGTGCCGAGCCATGAAGCTAGAAACGGCCGAGGCTGTGAAGCAGGTAGCATTGTCAGAGACAATGGTTCTCGGAGGGCCGAACGAGTACATGATTTCTCTCTTGACGAAGTCGAGAACCACTTGAGCAGTACTATCAGCAGTGGATAGAGCAATTGGCCATCCTGTGAGGTGTTCGACCGCAACCCACACGAAGCGATTTCCAGACGAAGTGACAGGGAAGGGTCCAGCAAAGTCAATAGAGAAAACATCAAACAAGCTTGTGATGGGAAAGCGCAAAGTTGTCTTATACCTGGGAATCGGACGTGCCTTCTGACACCCGTCACAACTCTTCACGTAGTCTCCCACGTCCATACCAACGGTCGGCCACCAGTACCTTTCCCAAAAAAAACCCCTTTCCCTAAATTGACGAGTGGTCTTCAAGTCCCAGTGACCAATGTCGTCATGGAAACCCTTCAGTACCTTTTCGCGATCGGAAATTGGGACAACAACACGAAGACCATGAATGGTGCGGCGGAACAACTTCGACTCCCACACTAGAAAGTTCTTCGCATTATTCTTCATGCGAGACTTCCTGTAATCATCCAACCCAACCGGTGTTTCGCCTTGCAGATAGGACATGATATCTTGGCAAGACTCTTCTAGATCTTCTGGAGAGTAGATCGGGGTCGTGATAGCGAGGGCAAGTTCTCCCTCTTCCTGGCAAGTTGGGTTGTCGCCGGCTTTGGGTTGAATACGAGAAAGGTAATCGGCTGCACTATTTGCGGATCCACGACTATATTCCACGGTGAAGTCGTACTCGGCTAAGAAGTCTAGCCAACGAGCCAAACGACCGTGGATGTCTTTCTTGCGAAAGGCGTAACTAAGAGCCTGGTGATCCGTAACCAACTTGAAAGGTGTAGACGAAAGCACGTAAACACGAAATTTCTTCAAAGCAAAGATGACCGCAAGCGCCTCACGCTCACAAGCGGAGTACTTGCGCTCAGATGTATTCATAGTACGGCTTGCGTACTGGATGGGGTGTATTTTCCCATCTTCGTTCTTTTGAGCCAACACAGCCCCGACGGAGACCGATGACGCGTCCGTCTCAACGACGAAGGGCTTCTCGAAGTCTGGGTAAGCCAAGACTGGCGGAGAAGTTAACTTTACGCGTAGTTCATCAAAGGCTTCTTGCATTTCCCCGGTCCATTTTAATCTGCCGTTTCCGGATGGAGCCGCATGGAGTACTGCAGCAATGTCCGCAAACTTGCAGATGAAACGACGGTAGTAGCTTGCTAACCCGAGAAAGCTCCTAAGTTCAGTCGTAGTGGTCGGGATCGGTGCATTCCGAATTACTTCGACCTTGCTCGGGTCAACGGCAATCCCGCCTTTGTCGACAACATGACCGAGCAACTTGATCTTCGCCTGGGCGAAGCTACACTTTGTCAGCTTAAGCTTAAGACCAGCCTCGTCAAGCACATCAAATACATGCTGCAGGTGCCGAAGATGTTCTTCTACAGTCTTAGAGAACACCACAACGTCATCGAGGTACACACGCACAAACCGCACTCCGCGAAAGATTGTATCCATCATTCTCTGAAATGTCGAAGGCGCATTCATCAATCCAAAGGGCATGACTTCGAACTTATACGTCCCGTAGCAACAGACGAAAGTAGTCATTTCTTTGCATTGTTGTGCCATCCGAATTTGCCAGTAACCACTGAACAAATCCAGAGAAGTGAAGTACGCACTTCCTTCCAAGTCATCAAATATCTCTTCTATTTTCGGCAAAGGCCATCTGTCTGCTTTCATCTTCTGGTTCAGAGAACGGTAATCAACACAGAAGCGTGGATTCCCATCTTTTTTGGATACGATGACGACCGGAAAGGACCATGCGGGGCTGGAAGGCGTGATGATTCCTGCTTCCAGCATTTTGTCCAGCTCTTTCCGAACGATTTCGTTATGCAAGGAAGCCATTCTCCTCGCCGAGTGGTAGATCGGATTAGTGTCATCTAACTCGAAATGGTGCTTGATTGGGACTTCAGCAGGCCGAAGGTCGTCAAGGGATGTAGCAACGATACTCTTACCCATCAGGGCGGTCTCGATGACTGCTTGGGTTTCATCGTCAAGATGCAGAAGTTTTTCCGGAAGCATTTTCACGACCTTGTTGATAACATTCGAATCAGGTGATTCTACTTCCTCATCTTCTCCGATCGCTCCGTCCAGAGTTCAGTCTAGCTCGAAAGGTTCATCGCCGAGGATGGCGACAACATAAGTCTCTTCTTCCGACGAATTTTCTGAGGCGAATGACTCGACATCAGAAGTGAAGTCCTCACTATCAGTCTCCGAATCCGCGACGATAGGACTTACTTGATCAAACTCCAGACTCATTTTCACGGTTTTGTTTCCAATCAACATTCTAACAGACTGGTGACCTAGATCGATGCAGGCTTGAAGTTCTTCAAGAGTTGGATACCCGATTAAGATATCAACTGGGGATCCTTCAACAACCAAGAAGTTGAGTGAAGTAACAGCGCCATTGAACGTGACAGAAACTTCCTCGATGGAACCTAAGCAGGTTGTCTTTTGTCCATTGGCGACCGTGATCTTCGTCGAGGTCGGCTTTGGAGACAGAGAGAGCTTCGATGCCACAGACGCATTCATAACATTAGGGATAGCTCCTGGGTCTAACAACGCTCTCATTTGTGTCCTGTAGATTTGTACCGAAACTACTTTCAGACGTTTTGGCAAAGTACCGATCGAAGCAGCTACGGGGCGTCTAGGGCGACTGTTGAACAAACGACGGATCTCTTTCTTGGCCTCGTCGCCATCTCCTCGAATCAGTTGACCGAATGTCAAACCAGAGGGGGCGTTCGCGAGGGAAAAAACCACGTCGTACTTCCCCGAGTGCTCTTGGACGGCGTTCTTCTTACTTGTCCTCTTCTTTCTTGTTAGACGGCCGGGCTTAGGAGGTTTCCTCATGTGGTTCGGAGTCCAGTATTTACGCGGGTTGAGAAGGGACGGGATTGGCTCGCCGCCACCATCCTTTTGCGTCTTGGCCACCGGCTCTCCATTGGCGTTTCTCTTGACTGATGCCACTAACTTCTCATCAGCAGGGAGGTCGTCGTGCGTCACAACACTCACCTGGTTTCCTGTGGAGCCCGTCGGTGTACCCGACACGGAAATATCCGTCTGGGTCTTCTTAGGAGGGTAGGCACTGCTACTTCCCCTCTGTGGACCAATTCTAGCCCAACAGCTTGTCTCTGAATGACCAAATGTTCCGCAGCGAGGGCATTTCGTGTCCCTATGCGGATTCGCATCGCATCTATTAGCGCCATGACCCGGTCGTTTGCAATAAGAACAAGTACAATCGTGGGCGGGGCGGAATGCTGTTGCGTCATCCCTCGACTGATTCTTCTTGATAATAAGGGAAATATCGGCTAGTCGATCAGCTAAAGCGTCAACCTTCGTCTGGAGTGGAGACAAGGGAGCTTTTGAACGCATCATGACCCTTTTTGACCCACCTTGCCCTCTCGGCTCATTCATACCGTGCGAGCTCTCTGACCCCTGGTAGCGCGAATTACTCAAGGAGTTCGCCGCCGCTTGAAAGGCGCAGCGACCAGACCAGAAGTCCATGATTGCATCGAATAGGGCCTTGTAGGTCTTCGCATCTCGATAGATGGCAAACTGGGCCAACTCGAGATGTTCCATCACGGCGTTGCGAAGCAGTCCAAACTTCGCTTCGTGGTTGAATCCCGCCTTCTCGTAGATACGGTCTGAGTTTCGAAGGGACCCACTGAGATCCCCGAAAGAAAGGCGAGCGGCCATCGCATCCCGAATCACATCTTCAGGTGATTCAACCGCGGCGAACCGCTCGACCAAGGCCTTCTTGACCTTCTGGTAGTCGGAGCCATCAGCACTGATATCCCCGTTCTTGACAAAGGCTTGATAAAAGAAGTCGAATGCATCTCCCTCCAGGTAGCGAAGGAGTTCAGATGCCCTTTCTTCGTCCGACTTGCCAGAGGTGGCAACATTCTCGAAGACGAAGAAGAACTTGTGGACGTCGGCCGGCTTCGACCCGTCAAACTGTGACAGGGAGCCGTCTTCTTTGCCACCCCTCCACAAGAGTACCATGTTGGCAGTGTTTGAGAGCTGCGCGCGTAGGGGGAGGGAAAAAGAACAAAGAAGAGAAATTTATTATGTTTTACGTTCTGGTCCCCCCCCCCCCCCGATTATTTTCTTGTGGTGATGTCCTCCCTCTTATACACAAGAAAAGACGGCCTCCACTTGACGGAATAAATGCCTCTTGTCGGGAGATTTCTACTTTGTACACGTGGTACACATGCAGACCAATTATTAAACTACAGATTTGGGTGATGTCTCAGGGTATGTCCTGAGGTATGTCTTGGGGTTTGGCCTGGATATCCCTCCCGACACATGGCACGTGGCAGAACCTGTGTCTGCCGGTTTTGGCGGCACTAATTCGAGGGTGGCAATAATAAAAGCGGCACTATTGCGCGTCCCCCCCTATACTGTGCCCTCAAGGGCACAGTATCCGATTGGACGCCTCCAAAAACAAAATCTCGCGTGCAACCACAGCAATGAAGGACCCCGTTCCCCAATCCGTCCACCATCTCCCCCGATGCATCTTGCCTTCATCTCCCCCGCCATGTCTGCGGCCCCCGCCGGTGCGCTCTACGCCGCCCGCTGCGTCGACAAGCCATCTTCCTCCGCCCTGCGTGCCGCTACTCGTCCTGCCCATCTCGACTGGATCGCTGCTCAAGAATCTCTCTTTCGCTTTGCGGGTCCCCTGCACCCCCCTGACGCCACGTCCCAACCTATCGGCTCCCTTCTCATTATGCACGGTTCACCTCCTGCCTCTGCCGCCTCTATCGAACGCTATCTCTATGATGATCCGTATGCCAAGGCAGGCCTTTTCGAGTCTGTTGATGTGCGACGGTGGGTTTGCGGCATGGCTTCCACCGCGCCCCTGCCGGACAATTTGTTCGCTGTTTGGTGTCTGGACAAGCCGCAAAGTAGGGCGCTGCGAAAGGCGACACGGTCCGCTCATCTTGACTGGTGGCGCGGCGCGGGAAGGAGCGGCATGATTGGGCCGTTTCCGGCGGACGATGGCGACGGCGCAGTTGGTAGCTTAATTGTGTGTGAAGGGGAAAGCGTTGAGGAAGTCGCCCAGTGGGCTAAGACGGATCCGTATAGCACGGCTGGCCTTTTCGACTCTGTTGAAGTGCACTCGGTGCTCAAAGCGGTAGAGGATGGCAAGTTTCTGCTCGGAGACGTCCCAAAGTAAATTTGGGCGCCTTGTTTTGGAGATCCCCAGCGGAGCTAATGCTATGATCTCGCCTCCTCGAGCAGTCAGTAGACAGTCATGCCGCTCACCATCACCTTCACATTCGTCGCAGCGCCGCCTCTCCTCCCTCCTTTCCGTAGCAGAAGGCCCACTCCCGCATCTCGAACCCTGCTGCGCGCATCAGGGCAACCGTCCCAACAGCATTCGACCAGCCGTCGCGCCCTCCTGCACCTGGCATCGATATCCGTCCTCTCCACAATCCTTCCTGCGCCCTCGAGTCCCGCCACCCGCTGCCTTCCAGAAGGCGCCGCAGTTACTGCACTCACCGATGTTGCGTGGCCGCCTTCCATGCCGTTTGCGGCATCCGACTTTGCCCGCTTCGACGAGCGTCCGGATGATGTCTTCTATTCCTTCCCGCGCCTCGTGCGCCACATTGACGGGCCTGCGGTTGCGGCCCTAGGGTCGTACTATCGATCTCTGCTCCCCATGGCCAGCGATGTTCTCGACGTGTGTGCTTCGGTGGAGGCGTATCTACCAGGCCAATGGCCTGGACGGCGTGTGGTTGCTGGCGTAGGGATGAATGAAGTCGAGATGCAGCAAAACCCTGCTCTCAATGAGTTTGCGGTTCGCGATCTCAATGTCAACCCGAAATTGCCTTATCCGGACGAGAGTTTTGACCTGGTTATGTGCAATGTTAGCATTGATTATCTCACCAAACCAGTGCAAGTAGTGCAGGAAATGCGCAGAGTGCTGAGAAAAGGTGGGAAGGTTGCGATTAGTTTCAGCGACAGGGTTTTCGGGACAAAAGCCGTCTCCGCATGGATGAGTGGCGGTGACCAGGACCATGTTTATATCGTCGGCGCCTATCTGCACTACGCGCGTGGGTTAGCGGAGCCCAAAGTCCTTGATCTCACGCCGAGAAAGGGCGGAAAGTGTACCAGCGATCCTCTCTACGTTGTCCAGGCGACGAAACTCTAAAACAAGCCAAAGTTCTCCTACGAGACGTTGCACTACTGTTATAAAGTCGGAAAAGGTGTATGGCATGCCAATCTCAGTAAGTCTGCTTGAGGGAAAGTTAGACTTGAACATCACGACCCTCCTTTCAAAACAAGCCTGGATGCGTTGCCAACGTTTCCGCAGCGTTTGTGCATGCCAGTGCTCTCATGCGCTCTGACCCTTGTCCCATATACGACACCAACTTCCTCTGTACTGATAGCAACGTCAGCTTACTTGTTTAGAAAGTACCAAGCGCCAGATGCGCGTCATGTCCATTGTCGCCCTTCCCTTCGACTATAGTATTTTCTATACGTACATGATTGTAAGAGCGCATATTGTCGTTGCAATCGCCCAGATACCCCCAATTCGCAGAACCCAGGCCTCACCAAAATGCCTGCTCACATATCCTGTATACCTGCTCAATCGTTTTGACAGCATGTGTGACCTCACAACAAGTTAGAAAGAGAGATGGGTCCCTCTCAGTTCCTTGTGCACGAAGCTTGGCTATTCTGAAGACTTACATTGTATCGATGAGCTGCGGAATGACGGCAAATATATTGAGGGCCCCAAGATAGCGCCCACGATTTGAAAGGTCTGAGTTGTTCACTGTGATGCCTACAGGAAGCGTGAAATGAGCCGCTTGAGGGAGGGCCATTGCGATTACTATCATTCTGGCGAGTTGCTCCGAATGCGTGCCTGCAAAGACCAGGGTTAATATCGCAAAGATGCCAAAAGATGCCCCCATAAGTTGACCCGGTGTTACGTAGTTGAGTGCGAAGGGATACAGGGCCGAGAAGGCTACTTGCAGCAGAGCTCGCGTGAGGCTCGCCGTTCCGTACATGTTGACGCCGCGCTCGTACGTCTTTGCCGCTGCCGAACCTTCTGCGGCCTGTGGGTCACCTGCGATGTAGTCAAAAAATAAACATATCAGACGCTTTCACATGTCAGGACACTAGTTGGGGCACCTTGACAAGAAAGAAGACAAGGTGACACCTTGCTCCTGGTGGGTTTGACGTACCGCCCAAAACTGAGCTCCCCAGCCAGCTCGAAACATTCGGCATGACACAAAACAGAGCAAAAAACCCGAGCGCATACGTGCCCCCAACCCTCCACATCCATGCGGGTAAGCCGTTGAAGTACTCAAAGACATTGGACGACTGGCTCTGGGCCTTCTTGACATCCGGGTCATCCTCCTTGACCGGAACCTCCTTCCCCACAACAACCAAGACAATAACCGTGCACGCATAAACGGCCATGATAATCCCAAAGCACAGCCTGATATTCGCCACTGGCTCTTCCAAATAATCAATAAGCAAGTTTGTAGCGAGGTCGCCGAGCGAGCCCATAACAATGGACGCGCTCTGCACCTCGTGCTGCTGCGCCTGCGGGACGAGGTCACCCTGCAGGGCGCGGACGGGCCACATGGTGGTATTGATGGCGAGGTCTGTGAGGCAAAATGCAGCGACGGCGACCGCGACCGCGGCGGCTTCCGCGCGGGCCGCGGCGCGCGGGAAGAGGTAAGCGGCGATCTGCGGGGCGCTCGCGAACGCGGCCATGCCCACCAGCGTGGCGGCGAGGCCGGCGACGATGAACGGGCGGCGGCGCCCCCACGCGCGCGTGCAGCGGTTGCTCAGCGGGCCC